CCACTTATAAATTTTGAAACTCTTAAAATTTCTCTTCCCTCCCTAAATAATACCAAAATTATCCTTATGAAAACATTTCACTCATTGAATGCACACCCTTCATACCCCCACATCCCAAAAAAACCCCATTTCTAAAAAAACCCTAACAAAACCCATGAAGACAAAGAAGAAGAAGAGACAATGTAATTAGTGTATCTGCTGTCTCATCCACCATTGCCACAGTTGGTATGCGCCTCTCTCTCTCTCTCTATATATATATATACACATAGTTTATTAGTTTTCTCATAATAATTTATTCTCTTACGAAAAAATTTATAATAATTGGTTTAATTTTCTTGATAAAACAGGTCCAAACTTATGAATAATATTTAGTTACCTGTTTCCGAACAAATAACAAATGTTCGGTTATCGGTTCCCGAACAAATAAACAATGTTCGGGCCTATGTTCCTGAATTTCGATCATATGTTTGAGAGTTCAGTTCTGAAAAAAATGACGAACAACTTTATTATTTTTGCCATTTTTTTCAAGAAACTTACCTTGACAAGACTAATCTCTTATGAGCTAAGAACAACATCAAAGCTATGAACCTCCTCTAAGCTTTTATTGTTGTACGCCTCTCATCTTATGAAGTTGTAGTTGTTAGACAAACTTCCACTTATTATCATTGCTGGAGAAGTGTAGGCAATCAAATGATTGTCACTATTACTACTAGAATATTACTGCCAAAGGGTTTTCAAGGTTTTGAGGTTGTATAGATTTTGAATGTGAGATTTGGGAAAGATGGATGAGTGGTGATGGAGGTAGGTGCTTTCATAAACCCTAATTCATGATGTAGTGGGTGTGTAGGCTTAATTGTGAGATAGGGTATCCCAAAATTAATGTTGTCCTTTGTAGTAATTTTATTTGAGATTATTATTGCAATAAAAAAAAAGATAAAAATTAGGGGTCCAAAATAATTTATGAGGTACTAATAATATCACTCTTTAAAAATAATGTATTTGTAGGATTTTTATAATTGAGGAGGTTAATATGTACAATTCATAAATTAAGAGTAAAGTAATATCCACTAATAATTGAAAGAGTCTTAATATAATTAATTCTTTGAATAATGCTATCTATGAAAATAAATTTGGGTCATTCTGCCTTTATACCTGCATTTTTGGAATACGTATAGTATACAAGTTATACATTTGTGGAGTTGATACACAAATATCATAACTAAAAAAACAATAAATCATGGTGAAATGCCACTTTATGTATAACTAAATATCTTTTCGTTATAATTAAAATAATAATCACAATGACTCATAATTAAATTTTAACAAAATGGTTATAACTAAAATAAAAATTACGGAGGGTAAATTATGGAAATGGTCCCTGTAGTTTATCTGTTTTTTCATTTTCGTTCTCGTTGTTTTAATTTGATCAATTTTGCCTTTTAATTTTACGGATTGTGTCATATTAGTCTAATAAATAACGGCGGTTAAGTTTGATGGACGAAAAATCAAATAATGTTTCAATTTGGTCCCTATAGTTTATAGAATGTGTCAATTTGACATTTGCAATTTATAGGGATAATAAACTAACAGACAACTGAGGAACATAAAGAACAGATGAAATAGTGACGACAGACATATCAGACGATAGGACAGACCCAACAGATATAACAGACATACCAAACCTATTAGCAGCATTAACAGTAATATAAAAGGAAGGGAGTACAAATCTAAAGTAAAGAAAGATGAAGAGTCGTGACGAGAGGCACTAGAGTCAAACAGCCAGACAGACGAAGAGATATCTGAAGAAGATCCAAACAAACCTGAATGAAGAGAGGAAACAACGGAGGCTAACGAGGATGGCTAGGAGATAGACAATATATGTTGAAATTGACTAATCTAAACACTCAAGGAAGCCAAGTCAGGATTAAGAGCCGGAGTAAATGCAATAGAACTGGTGGGAGGCTAAAAAGAGCTCGAAGGAGGAGCTCGGAACTAGGTCTGAGACTGCTGAGTAAACGAGGCATGCAGATGCCTCTTCTTGGGACAGTGATACTTCCAATAACCACTCTGATGGCAGAAGACACACTCATCAGAAGCCAGAAATATCGTAATTAACCCTAAACAGCCAAACCTAGGGTCGAAAGGTAATAAACAAAAATCTGATGGGGCAAAATGTAACAAACCAATAAATCCAAAACCACAGTGTAATAACTAGAAGGTGTGGGGTCTAAATGTAATATCAAAAAATCATGAGACATGAATCCAATACTAGAGGGTTTCAGATGCAATATCAAATGGGTCAAAAACCAATAAGTCATCAACCAGAAGATAGGTGGATCAGACCAGCCTCGGAGAGTAGATAGAGCACTTGCGAGAGAGAGAGAGAGAGAGAGAGAGAGAGAGAGAGAGAGAGAAGCTAAGAGGTTGATTACGATGCTCCTAGAGAACCAGAGAGAGATCGCAAACCAGGAGAGAGAGATCGAGACCCACAAGACCAAAGAATCGCAGAGAGAGGTTGTGAAACAAACCAAATGGGTCGCAATGGATTTCAAACCAGATGGGTCGATGGTTACGATGTTAGACTAGCGCGGGTTGCGACGTCAGACTAGCATGAGAACTTGATGCAGCAGATTTCGATGGGTTGAATTCAAAACTTCAAACTAGACAATAACTTTGAGTCGATTTCAAACCAGACAACAACTTCAAGTCGATTTCGAACCAGATGTAAGAATCAGTTTGTGCGAAACCCTAGCCACCACGAATCAACAATCGTGTATTTTTGATATACCATGTAAGATTTCTGAATGTTTCTGTATATTCAATTGAAAAACAATACAAAGTGTACATCTGATATACATATATATATCAATTCTAGGCCTAATCCTAAATAGGAAATAAGAATAATCCTAAGAACAAACTATTCACATAGTCTAACACAATCTAAAATATACACACAATATTCTCATAACCCAAAACCCTTAAAAATTTCTATATGAAATAAAAGAAAAAGTACAATATCCTAACCAAAGTCTTTAAAGGTTATCTTCCATTGCACATGTCATACATAATTTGCTTTCCAGCAAAGCATACAACAAAAGACCGAGTCATCTCTCGTCAATCAAAAAATTAGCATATAGTTTCCAACAATTCGAAAATATTGAATATTCTCCCCTCAATGGTATCACCCATAAGCCTGCCTTTCGGCAATTGAGAGAGAATCTACAAGCAAGTTTCTCCAAAATTTGAAAAGACAAAACAGGCTAGAACCTAATGTGCCATTTCAAAACAAAACACTAAGACAATATATTAAAGGTCCTACAATTGAAGCAATTACCAACCTTATATTCAAGATATTTGATTAATAGTGCAAAATATTGCAGCAAAAGCAGATATGAAAATTTCAAATTAACAGTAAGTTCTGGGAGGAACAAGAGCTACTACTTTTCATTAAAAACTTCAGAAAGACCACTAAACCTTATTGAGGATCTCTGTCATTTCATCCTCTGAAAATATGCATTGTTCTCAACGTTTTGGCTTAAAGGTCTAAGTTGGAGGTCGCTAAGAAGACTCCAATTGGGAATGTTTAAGAAAACTGTGGTTATGGTATAATAGGGCAACTTAAAAATAAAAAGTAATTAGGAGGCAAGCACTTGGTGCTTTGCAATGGTGGGGGGACTAACTCCCATAGGTGCTAATCTAACAACTAACAACTGACTTTCGCTGATCCAAAAAACAAAAAAGAAAAAAAAAAAGTAAAACAAAGTAATTTCAGAATGAAGAAATTGATTGACATCCTGGAAGTAAACATAATCACATAAGTTAAAAACAAGAGTAAGCTATCCTGCATGAGGAGAGTTGAAGTGTAAAAGTATGAAAAACATAGATTAGGGTTAGAAAAAAAGAGAGAAGGAACAAGAAGAAGAAGACGAAGAAGATATATTGAACGTATATTTTTAGGTTCTTGAAATAAACCTAAAACCAACAGCAGATATTTATATTAAATACAATATGACCATATTACCCTCACTATGACCACATATTCTAACAAGAAGAAAACCTTAAATTTAACAACCATACTATGATGGTCAGACAAATACCTATGCAGGATAGAGAACCGTGAAGAATATGCTAGCATTCAGCAAGAAAGGAAAGAAAACACAAATTACAAAGCAATGCCTGATATGTTGAAGAATAATTCCATCATTTTCCTAGAGTATTTAAGCAAAAACAAAATTTAATAAATATTCTAAGAGAACAGAAAAGGTACATCCCAGTAGTTTGCTACCGTCAAATCTGTTCAAATACATGACAAAAAATTAATTCATTTCATCAAATAAGGCAATACGAAGCAATAAAACAAGTCAAATGTGATATCCAGGGAAATGACAAAACCAAAATGAAACAATACAAGTGGAATTTAGAGACATGACATAGAGAAAGTTCATATCAAACTTTGACAAATGCTACATAAATCATAAAGAATTTAATCATGCTACTGTACATAAAGTTGCAAGTAACATAACATCTACCTGGATTCCAAGTATTTTATCACCATTTCCCAACTCAACTAGGAGCTGCCTCAGCTTGGCCTCCACACCAGAATGTACAGGTGTGTCATAAATCCATTGTGCATTCAATGCCGGTCCCTTACTTATGTTGCTGCCAAAAGTTAATCCACACATCAATGAGATTACTAGGAATAGAAACTACGACAGACAGGTCCTCAGAAGAGACTTACCCTTGTAAAACAGACTCAGCAAAGGGTCTCATGATATCTAGGTAAACTATGCGTACATTCATTGCCGATGAAAGCCCTGAATTCATGTGAATAAATAAAAATTAAGTCGGCACAATTCTTTAACACAATGAGGCAAGGAATTGAGGGGATTAATTAGAGACCTCTAAGCAGATTAAGGACCCGTGAAAATATCACAATGTCCCCTGGAAAAGCATCAACCTGGGTAGAAAGTTCATTACTACATATGTAAAGGCGAAAAAATGAATGGGCATTTTAGGACAACATCAATATAAGGAGACAATATATGAGCTTACAGGATTGAAACGTTTAGCTTCTTTAGTGTTTAACTTCATCTTTTCCTGTAAGACTTTCAAGTTTTTATTTCTTTGTTCAGCCAAAGATTTCACATTTTCCTTAACAAAGCAAAATAATTAATTAGTATAAGATCATAGACAGATGATGGTTAATCTAAGAAGCAAGCAGGTATGCATACAAGAGCTTCACTTGCAGGCGTTGAATTACGGAAGAACACACTAGTAACATCCATAACCTGCTCTGGCATGTCCAGGCGGAACCTAAGCCCCATTTCTGCAAAGGCAGACAAAAGTGCCACATGGTCTCCCTGCAAGCACAAGTATCCTAATTCTTCATCATCCAAAAATGAAAATATGCGCAATTTACTCATGTTGGACACACCAGAACTAAGTATGGGAATAAGATATATATGGAACATGTACAATAGGACATGCACCAATAAGCATGTCTAGTAATTTAACTATAATGTTGAATACGTTGCAATTACCTTTGTTGTTTTTATCTTTCAACCTTGTATTAGTCAAGATGGTATTTTTGTAATATGTACTAAACCATTATTAATACAAGGGTTTTAGGGCAAGAACCTAATTTTTGTTCTCTCCATTTTTCTCCAACAGTGTGTATCTTCTCTATATTCTCTCTACTCTATTCTTTCTCTCCTTTCAATTTCAACTTGGTATCTGAGCATTTGAGATCAAATGGCTTAGCTTCTGTTTCTGTGCACTCTGTTCGAAGTGGTTCTGTATAATCTGCTCAACGTAGCTGATCATCACCCCCACTTTTATTTTTTCCCATCAAATAAACAAGGACATCTAACAGAATCATTATGCAAATTTTTAGAATGATTTTATCTTAAAATCATAAAACAATTGGACAGACCTCAGCAGATGCCAGAAACATTTTTGCTAGAGCTTGTTTCATAGGGATTGATAGTAACTTTGTAAGCCCAAAATCAAGCAAAATTGGACGATATGGAGGTTCCTTGCTCACAAGAAAATTTCCTGCACAAAACAAGCGCGAGAAAGGATTCAACAAGGAAAAAATATTTTGAACAGAAAACACACCAACAACTAGAAATAACATACAACAGCAATTATGACTTCAGATCAGGAAGATCCAAATAGAATTTGGTCGTTGGAGAGAGAGACAGAGACAGAAGCAGCAGCAGTAAGGGATGGAGGACTACCAGGATGAGGGTCACCATTGAAAAATCCATCAACATAAATTTGGTGGGCATATGCGCGTGTGATCTCTTCAACAAGCTTTTGTTTGTCAACACCTAAAGCCTCCAGTGATTCAGAATCATTTAAACGAATCCCATCCATATACTCCAAAATCAGGACTTTTTCAGTTGACTTCCATTGCAAGCAACATGAAATTTAAAACAAATCGTAAGATCTGTGAAGAAGTGAAGTCAATAAGCTTTAATGCAATGAAGAATGAAACCTAGTTACCAACAGGTAGAACCATAGAAGATAATGATGGTGGAGAAACTTTTTTGGATGGGCTGAAAGAGGATTCTCCCTCAAACCCTCTGTGAGATCCACTCTACCAAATCCTTCATCCGAAATAGAAGTTTCCAGTATCTATTTTATTGCAGTTCATTGACACATTTTGCATTCAACGGTACTATCATGTTGGCATAGAAAGTTTTTCATGTATGTGACATCAGATGGAGGAGCTTTTTATCACAAATATGCAGTTGTATATCCTGATTTATAAAAAGAAATAGTCGTGCAGGGTACAGTGGAAAAAGAGTACCAGTTTTGTGTACATATAATCACAGGAAGAAAACTGGATTCCTTTCATTTCCAAAGTTTAGGGTGTTTTAGTTGTTAATCTGTATTTTAATTTATTTATGATTTCTTTGTATGAAAAACTGGTGTCAAACTTCAGAAGGACATTAGGGTCAAGTTTCTATAAGTTCGTGGAATACAAATCCATCTGAAAATGTTGATTTAGAAGCAAGGCCTTTTAATTCATTCAGGCTCATAGATATGCCAAAACATGGCCTTAAAGTACTATTTCTTGGGAAAATGAGTGCCCCTTTCTTCAGCTAAAAGAAACATTCTACCTGATAACAGCACCTCTCTCCTCCTACTTCATATTAGTCATGGTTCTCATCAGATCTCAGTTGAGAATTATGACATTTTAAGAGCAGGCGAACATTATTAAACCATAGTCCTGCTAACAAAATCAAATTTAAGTAGAAGATTGGTGGAAGACAGTACCTGAATAACGTCTGGGATCCATACGTCCACAAAATAAGCAGGACTCTTATCATTGCTTTTGCTTTTGCAGCATAGATTTTTAGAGACTGTTCTGGTGTTTTCTACAGACACCAAAGAAGAATTAGTAAGAAATTCTAGCACATGCTGAACAGCTGAAATTCCTTGACACAAATGGACAAGAAAGTGAACATAGTAATTTAAACTAAGAATACCAGCTTCGTGGTTGAAGTCCAGTTCCTTCGGTGCTTCTTTACACCACTCATCTATCATAGGGCTGAAGTCATACTGTGGTTCCGCCCATGCTATCCAGTCAACTATTGATTTTGCATTCTTTAAGTCCTGTCAACAAGTGTGCATCCAACAATTATATGACTGCAAATTTTACTACCACTTCCATTCCAATCATCTTAAAGGCCAGAGCAAGTATGACCTCTAATATTATTGTCTTGATGCCTTCATGTTGAACTTTAACAACCACCTCTTGCTCATCACGCAGAGTTGCACGATGAACTTGTGCTATCTGCATAAAAGAAAAATATGAAAGCAATAAAGATATTGAGAATGTAGTTCATTTTTCCACAGCACAAGAGATATAAGCATTACACCAACTCTACTGGTGTGCAGCTCAGGATTTTATGAGAACCAGTGTGTACAGAACTAATGATTACATGTGAATCACATTAAAATTTTGCCACCACACTCATAGTTTTTCCTAAAAGATTTTAACTTCAAAACAAATCTGAACAATTCAAACTGAGTTGATCTCAGCTCAACTAATACATTCTAATATTCCTACTTGTTATAAATTCCAGTGATTCAAACTTTTTTGCACACTTACTCTTAATTGTTCTATTATTTAATTATAAACAAGTTGATGTACCAGATAAATTGATGTCCTATCTTAGAAAAGACGTCTGCTTGATGCAACCAATGATTGCATAACAACAACACAACAACAACAAACAGCAAAAGCAATACAACAGCGGCAACGACTATAATGACAACCAAGTAAACAGGTGCGTCCTATTGCTAGGAGGATAGTGGTTCTTGCCAGAGAAGTGTACAATTGGTAAAGGCATTGGATAGTTGTGTAGATTGTTCTAGCAAAAGGAAAGCTACTATAGAAAACTTAGCAGTGTAATAATAATAGTAGTAGCATTTGTTATAGTCATGGAATAATAATAATTATAGTGGTAGTTGCAGTAAAGTGGTAGCAGTAACATCTGTTTATAAGTACACTGAATCATTAACAGTGATCTTAAGCTGAGTGCATACAACCAACTTTAGTTCAAGGATCTCACTGATGCTGTGGCCAGAGGGACTTCAACAAAGTCTAAGAAGAGATCATCCATAGAGCGTCCAAACTCTTTCTCTATGGTTCCACAAACCTGTGGGGAAAAAAAAAATAGAAAGAATGAAACTCAATTAAGCAATAATATTTTCATAGATGTTGTAGGTATTATAAACATATACTTACATAAATAGATACTTTTTTTTTTTTTTTGATAAATACATACAGAAATAGATACTTATTAACATATAGTAAGAACATATAGCCATAGCTATCAAATCAAGATTTGAATCATGAATCGAAATGGCCTTCTACTGAATCGCGAATCGAATGGAATCATGAATCATAAAGATTCAGTCATTTTTTCAATATTACTTAGAAAAATATATCTACACCCTTGGATGTTAAATATATCTTATAAATATGAAATATTTAGATTTAAATCAATGAAATGTTGTTTTGAATGATGATCACATAGGTTCTCACATAAGATCACCATCTTACCTTATCCTTTTTTTGAAAATTTCTTATCAACCATTCTTAATAAAGAAAGTAAACAAAGACAAATCATATTACTTAGAAAAATATATCTACACACTTGGATGTTAAATGTATCTTATAAATATGAAATATTTAGATTTAAATCAATGAAATGTTGTTTTGAATGATGATCACATGGTCCCCATGTAAGACATAGGTTCTCACATAAGATCACCATCATACCTTTTCCTTTTTTTGAAAATTTCTTATCAACCATTCTTAATAAATAAAGTAAACAAAGACAAACTCTCAATTTCCAAGTAACAATAACTTAACATCAATGTTGATATTTGGACAATAAGCACACATACCTTTCCAAGTAACAATGACCTAATAACAAGAAACAACTAATTGGAATCCTTTTATTTTAAAACTTAAAACATTTTAGAAGTATATATATTTATAGGTAAAAAAAGTACTTAAAAAAAAAAACCAAAGAACTTGTGGAACCATTGAGTTTAGCAGACCTCACCTACGTGATATTGAACTATATTTATTTTGATAAAATAACAATAGAAAATTCATTGTGCAAGTTACTTTAACCTTAAACATCTTTAAATGATATATTACGATTTCTTCAAAGAACAAAATTAGTAGAAAAGGTTAAATACCCTACAACAGGAAAAATGGGAGCATGAACAAGGAATTAAATGGGGAAAAAAAAAAAAGATTCAACAATATTAGAAAAGCAAGTAGTTTCTAGAAGAACCCCCCCTTTGAACTCCAATCATTTTATGCCAGACTCTCTACTAAGAAAAAAATGCATGAAAATCCTATCTTTATGCTCATCTTCAGAATTCAAAATTAATAAAAATACCTCTTCTAAGGGGCGGGAAGGAAGAGAGTCCTGCAACTGCTTCAGAAGGTATATATAGGCCTCCGGAAGCACATCTGCACGTGTAGACAAGTACTGGCCAAGTTTCACCCACAAACCTTCCAACTCTATCATCAAACTAAGAACACGCTTAGCATTACGCTCATGAGCTTTCTCCCATAGAGTAGCTCTCTTAAATTTGCTAGTCCATTTCTCTCTCTGCTGTAAAGCCTTCAGGTATACACCCGCACCACACACACATGAGCAAAGACAGAAATGGCATTTTGGCATAGATGAAAGTAATTTGCTATATAATAATTAATAAGACATAATCATAGCATACCTTGTAATCCAGATAGATAACAAAAGCTAATTTGAAAACTTTCATCCGCCTTTTGTATATGTTCCCCCATCCCATTGATGTGGCTTGGTCACAAAATGGATCCACAAATAACGAATAAGCTTTCTGATCATCACCAAACAAAGGATAAAGCAAATCGTCAAATTATTTCTAAATGGAATCAAGGAAACCAAGAAGAACATGGTCAATATTTATGTGAAATTGAAAATAAATAAATAAATAAATAAAAAGAAGGTAAATTACACTAACACCCCTTGAGGTTTGCTCTTAATACATATTCCCTCACATTTGGGAAATTACACCTCCCTTGTCAATGTTTGTCACTTAAAAAGACTAACAAAACTGATTAATGACCAATTTACCCTTTTCTTGTTTACCAATTTCCCTTGTGCCCTTACTTCTATCACTACCCACTTTCTTTGAACCACACCATGAAAAATTCATCTTCCTCCTTCTACCTCTCACCATCCCCATTTCCACCAACCATACACACTTGCTACTTCCCATCCTCCACAACCACCATCACCCACCCCCTCCACCTACAACCATCATCACCCACTCACACCTGAACCATCCCTGGTAGCCACCATCACTCACCCCCAAGCCCTATATTCAGCATCCAGCTCAACCAAAGCCTCAAACCACCGTTGCTATCTCCTCCTACTGCCACCATCGCCTATCTCTCTCATTCTACCGCCTACACTCGTCTTCCAATAAAATCTGACTATCATTGCTACCTCTGCTCTACTCTCACGTCCACCATCCCCCTACTCGTCCCACGCATAGAGCTATCATCACCTGTCAACCTCTCAAATCACCCACCTTCACCACTACGCCCATCACCACAATCCGTACCCAACACAACCAAAGCCCCAATCCACCGCGACCACGACCACGACCCCGACCCTGACCCCTAATTGCCACCTCCCACCACCACCATTGCATATCTCTCTTCTCCTCGTCCCGTCTACACCCCTCTTCCAACACAATTTGGTCATCTATCTTGCTATCGTTGTTGCTTCCCTACTCCCACATCCTCTATCACCATCACCATCACCATTACCATCACCCATACAGCCACCATTAGCCACCCCATCTTCACCCCTATCTCGATCACCACAATCTATATCCAACATAACCAAATCCCCAATCCACCAAAACTACCACCACCACCCTGACTTCCACCTCTCACTACCACTCCTCTTACCCCACCCCCACCCCCAACCCTAACAAAATCTGGTTGTCATCTCGCTATCTCTAAAGATCTAAGGAATGTGCAAACCAAGTGTTTGATAAAAATCATAACTTTATTTTGTTGGTTGTGCAATGGTTAGGGGCTTTAGGGTTGAATGATGGTGGTGGTTCAAGGCGGTGGGGTGTGGGCTGATGGGCTCTTTTTCTCTTGTTCTCTCTACCTCTATTTTTCTGGCTGGGTAATTTGGGGTGATTGGATGGGTGATGGAGGAAGGCTAGTGGAAAGCTATTTTTTTACCTTAATTGTTTGTTAAATCTAGAGCTACTGGAAGGCTATGGTTATGTGGGCTATGTTGATGGCGGAGAGGCGAATGAGGTGGTGGTGATGGGGGTGGGGGTAGTGGTAGTGGTAGAGGAAAAGGAAAAGCAAAAGGAAGAGGAAGAGGAAGAGGAAGAGGAAGAGGCAGAGGCAGAGGCAGATAGGTGTTTGATGTTCATATCAATTGTTAGATCAAATGATTATAAGATCAAGTAAATTTGTTTTGGGTGGAGATGGGAAGCGGGGGCAACTATTTCGTTGTTGGGGGTGGGGGTTGGCTATTAGGCATGTTAGCATTTTGCGAGTGTGATGGCTATGGTCTCAGCGTTAGGGCAATGGTTGTTATGGAGTTAGGAGGTGGTGGATATAGTAAGGAAATGTAGTTTTGAGAATGGCAATTGGTGGTAGTGGCTTTAGGATGGCAGTTAGCGGTGGAGGTTGTAGAGTGACGATTGGTGGTTATGGCAGTCTTAGGTGGCAATGGGTTGGTTTTTGAGAGATTAGAAAGATGAGAAAGAGGATATGGCAGGCAAAGGGTAAAATTGGTAATCCATATTTTAACAGATGAGAAAATTGTAATGCAACTCGAAATGTCAAGGAGGGGAACATAATTTCCAAAGCTTCAGAGGTACTAAAGATGAGCTGGAAATTTTGTTAAGTAGTTGAGTTGTGCAAACAAGTTGTTAGTGTTAGTTGAATTGTTAGCTAAGTCTGTTATTGCTTAGTCGTATGGTTAGTTAGTGAGTATTTTAAATGGACAATTCGAAATATAAGTGGAGAGCTCAAGATTGTGTGGTTAGTTAGTGAGTTGGTTAACTGGAGAGATCAAGATGTGCAGAGCTTAAGATGGTAAAATTGGTTTATAATGAAAGTAAATCTTGGTCTATTAAGTCCCAAGAAGGTGAGAACTTCGACCTATACGATACGTCTTCAGCCAAATACGATATACAAGAGGCTTTGAGGACCTTCCTTCGAAGGAGAAAGCGCAAACTTGTCCTTGTATAGCAACAAAAATCCCAAGGAAAAATGAATTATGGATCTCTCTCATTGGTGCCCCAACCTCCTCAATCTCTGGAAAAAGGTTTCTTTTGGTTTTCCCATAGGAGTGCGCATAGGGCAAGATCAAATTATTCAAGTCTTAGTTAAGAAACTGCAACGCAATAGAACACCCTTGTTGACGGTCCTTTACTCCGACAACATCTAGGGTTCATCGAACAATGTGATATCTTAGACTAGGTAAATCCTTAACCGTTCCCCTCTCTTACTAGGACTACATAATTTTGAATTATGGCTAATACCAAGTGTATAAACAGTAATTTCAAATCCAGAGGTTAATCATACTTTGGCTACTTTACCTGAGGTGGATTTGGTTTTTTGGAGATAATAGTGAAAAAGTTTGGCAGAAGAGTCACCCTTATTGCCACTTTATTTAATTGTACATGAGATTTTCACCTCATATGACTCCTTCGTTCAATACTTTCTAAGTGATTGAATCATTTTCTTCGTTCGAAATTCTCCTTTCTTCCACTCTATCCCAAAGAGTAACCAAGACCAATTTAGTTACATTTTCATGTTCCAACTCAATACTTTCCATTTTTATTTTTGATTATTCTCAAAAGTAAAGACTATTCTCTTTACCAAACATATGCAAATCCAATCACAATCTTATGATAAGAACAAGAGAACTTTTCTCAATCAATCCCTTTGCCCCTCATTCTTTGAGAATCAAAAAGATCATTTTTCAAGTTTGGATTTGTTCATTTGGAATTTGGGCTCTTCTACTTTATTTTTCTTTACTTAATTTTTATTTAATACTAAAAAGAGAGTTTAAGAAGGTAAAAGGAGGTAGAATTATTGTAAGGATTGAACAAGAGGTGTTAGAATGAATTTGAGTTTGTATTAATTCAATTTTTTTTAAGTAAAATTCCATTCAACACATACTTTTTTTATTTTATTTTCTTATTTGCCTATTTACCTCATTTTTTACATCTTCCAGCTTATCATTTGGTATAAGAATCATTGCCACCTCACAAGTTTGATTCCCAGAGGGAGCAACCTAGTCTAGATTAAAACACATTGTTACTGTGGGCATAGTGCTAAGTTGTTGAATATTCATAGGTGAGTGTTGGCCTAGTGGGTGCAACTTGGGGCTTGGTGATGTGCTCTCTACAAGCCTCAAGTTCAACTCATACTCCATGCTATTAACTCCTTGGGGCCAAACTCGCGGGCCCTGCCCAAGATTTTCCCAATTCACGCGAAGTGGCACTTTGCATGAGTCCCGAAATTAGTCGTGGTGCGTGTAAGCTGGCCCAAACACCCAGTCATCAAAAACAAAAGAGGTGGAGCCATCATAAAATAAAGAGCTACTATCAAGTCAGTGTTCAAGTGAGGCAACATAGATGTTGGACTCAGAAGCACGGCGGTAGCTTACGATCCTAATATCCCACATTCGTTAAATATGGGCTTAGCCATGTAACTATAAACTCTTGGGCACCCTCCTTGTGGAAGCCGGTTTTAAGCTAATACAAAACCTTACTTCAATTAAATCACAACCCACCTAAAAAACAAAAGATTAGTATTTGACTCCATTTCAAACATTTAAAATCACACATTATCAATGTTGACTGATTGAATCAGCTTTACATCTACAGCAGCTACACATATATCCTTCAACCACAAAGAAAATATGCAATGTTGGACCAATCAATCCAAGAGATGATGGAAGGCACCACAGTTTAGTGCAAGCTGTCAAGTGTGGAAACACTCAGCAGCAGCTTCATGTAAATAAAACCAGAGGTTAAACATTTTCCTTCTTTTTTCCAATATTATTTTCCAAGAACCAAATTGGTTGCTTTCAACAATAAAGAGTATGAGAATTCTAATTATTAATTAACGATTAAAAAAATGTTTATTTAGTTATCCACAACGATAAATGTTATGCCGTAAAGCAAAGAATATGTTCATCAAAACAATGAAAAAAACAGCCAACAAGAATTGCAATGCAAGGCTGAATACATACATATCAGGGCGAGGCATTTCAATATGTAATCAAATAAATAAATACATATATCTACATGTATGTATGTATACACAAGTTTAGGTTCATCATATGAGAATATACTGACCTGGGCATTTTTTTTTAAGTAAAAAATATGCCCAGTTCAGTCCCATTGAAATAATTTTCACAAAATGACTGCCACAAATTCGAACTCACAACAACCTAAGGCTAATACATCAAGTTTTAACCACTGAACTAAAACAATTCAACACACACAAAAGAAGAAAAAATTGAGTTATTTACTTGTTTATATGGAAAAGCACGGAAAATTCAACAAATAAAATCCAAAAATCAGAACGTACATGCTACAAAAATCTAAGCACACAGATAACAGAATACAACATTGACATCAAAAATTAAAAATTGTAATTAATAAATAAACTGGAATTGCAATTCTTCATGATTTCATACAGACTAACGTGAAAAAAGAAAAAAAAAATTAAACAATTATAAATAAATTAGTTGATGAAATTACCTGAAATTTGACGTGAAGAAGAAAAGGAATGGGAATTGGAGAGAGAGAGAAAAGAGAAAAGGGGTTTGAAACAAAGAGAGAGAAAGAGAGAGAAATTCCTCGAAAGGATCGGTTAGTGGTGTTATTTTAAGGCATTTGGGGAATCGTTGCTTTTGGGGTTTGCTTGGTCGGTGTTTGGGCCTCTACATCTACTCGGCCACCTGCTCTTCTTTCATGACAGTGAAATTCAATTTGACTCTACACCTACGTTACGTATATGTTCACAACTATTCCTTTTCCTTTTCATTTCCTTTTTCATTTTCATTTTCCAGTTACCAAGTCCATCATAACAATTATGGTCAAAAAAATAAAAGTCCATCATAATAAAAATATTCTTTTATTAATAATAATAATAATCAACTCTGAAGGGAAAGGGTTCGAATGCAACTCGTGAGATTGTGAAAAAAAATTATTGGTTGGTTTTATATGCCATATAGTCATATTCTACGCCAATTATAATTTATTATATCTTCTTATATTTCATAATCATTTAATACAAATTTATACATTTTACTTTTGGTTGTTTTGGGAATTTTTTTTTTAGCTTTTTTATACAAAAAAAAAAACACAAAAAACACAAAAAAATTTACTTTTTTAATACAAAAAAACTAAAAGATTAACTTTCTACTAATTTCCCAAAACATCATTCTGTCTATTAATCATAATAGAGCATTTTGGCAACAAGTTAAAAAAATTAACTTATTGCCTTTTTAACTTTTTTTAACTAAAAAAGTCAACTTTTTTATCCAAAAAAACTGAACTTTTTGCCAAAAAAAAAAATTTTAAAGTCAAAAAATCAATTTTTTATCAACTTTTCAAAACACACCACTATTGAGGTATCACATGTAACGACCAACCAATAATTATGGAGATTATGGCCTGAAATTTTAACACGTCGCCATCGAATTTAAGAGGTGGGCTGGTGTGTTGCGTCTATGGGTTGTTTTGTTCGGTAAGAATCCTCTCCTTGTATCATTTCTTACATGCAACGCTATTGGGTATATTTTCAGGTCCAATTTTAATAATTTGAATAGTTCATATTTTAAAATTTGTTTAGTATATTATACTTGTTAAAAATCAAGTTAATCGGATATTAGAAAGCATGAATTTGGAAAAATCAAACTAAAAATTATTTTTTTTAAAAATTTAATAAACAGTTTTCCGAACACATATTTTTTTATATCCGATTAACTTAATTTTTTATAAGTATAATATATCGAACAAATCTTAAAATATGAACGATTCAAATAATTAAAATTAGGCTTAAAAGTGAACCCAATCACCCTGTAAATAAGAAATGTAAGGAAAAAGTGCAATGCGGGATCTTGACTCTATTTTGTATGGACACCTACGAATCACTCCAGCACTATTTTCTAAAACGCGTTGTCTTTTGGGGAATTGCTATTAATATATTACCTTTGAAATGAACGTAATTAACTTTCTACCAAAAAAAAAAAAAAAAAAACTTTTTTTTTTTAAGGTAACATTATGATTTTATAACATAAAAGACATCAAATATTTTTATAATGTCTAAGGTCCCTCAACAATATTTTCATAATGTCTAAGGTCCCTCAACTTTGATCCAGAGAAATTTTAGTCCAGAGAAATTTAGTCCAGAGAAACTTCAGTGCAAAGAAAATTGGTCAGAGAAATTCTGGCCCAGAGAAATTTCTCTGGATGAGTTTCTCTACTTTTCTTCTCATTCACATCCAAATCATTGTGATTCATTAGGTAAGCAACATTGTTCAACTGAATTCAACTGGAAAAATTTCACATTGTAATATGTAAGCAACATTAAAATTGGATAACAATGGCAACTTACCAGAACCAGAGAAATTCTGAAAAAATCTGAGTATTTCTCTGGTTTGTTATTGAAATATCAATTGAGAATTTCTTTGGTTTATTAAAAATATCAATTGAGAATTTCTTTGGTTTATTAAAAATAACAATTGAGAATTTCTCTGGTTTATTAAAAATAACAATTGAGAATTTCTCTGGTTTGTAATATCTGGAAAATTTTCTGCAACTTACCCAAATCTGTTCTTCGCTTTTTTCCAGTTGAAATTTTCAATCAAAAGTGTTTCTCTGTTGAACAATGTTCAACTGAATTCAACTGGAAAAATTCCACATTGTAATATGTAAGCAACATTAGAAGGGATAACAATGGCAACTTACCAGAACCAGAGAAATTCTGGAAAAATCTGAGAATTTCTTTGGTTTGTTATTGAAATATCAATTGAGAATTTATCTGATTTATTAAAAATAACAATTGAGAATTTCTTTGGTTTATTAAAAATAACAATTGATAATTTTTCTGGTTTGTAATATCTGAAAAAATTTCTGCAACTTACCCAAATCTATTCTTCACTTTTTTCCAGTTGAATTTTTCAATCGAAAGTGTTTCTCTGTTGAACAATGTTCAACTGAATTCAACTGGAAAAATTCCACATTGTAATATGTAAGCAACATTAGAAGGGATAACAATGGCAACTTACCAGAACTAGAGAAATTCTGGAAAAATCTGAGAATTTCTCTAGTTTGTTATTGAAATATCAATTGAGAATTTCTCTGGTTTATTAAAAATAACAATTGAGAATTTCTCTGGTTTGAGAATTCACCAAGTTGGTTCCTTTCATTTACAAAAACATTCTGTGAAGACCAATCAAACATTAGCCAAAAAATTCTATTTTCTATCACCATTCGAATCTGATCACTTAGCTTACTTGATCTTCTCAAGCTGAACCTGAGTATCCTTGGACAGCTGCATTCTCTCAACCTTCAAATGTCAACCACGGCAGCTTCATTTTTTGAGCTTCACACCGCACACACACAGCTTCAACCCATGCACATACACAACCCATGCACATAGTCACACACATACACGGCACACACACATACCACAACACACAGATAACTAGCTATATCAACATTACCGCTCCAGATAAATTTTGAAATTTCTCTGGATCAATCCAGAGAAATTTTAGCGGCTTGGTTCTTCTCTGATCTGTCACTTATATACTCTATTACCTCCAGCTGTTGATCCATCCGAACAGCATTCTAGGTGAATCTGATTTTGGATCTTTCAATTATCATGAATCTGATTTTGTTTTGGAATTAGGTTTTGTTGGGAAAGATTTCAACAGGAGCCCAAAACGACTTGGAGAAGGTGACCAAGATGACCTATGCTCAAGTGGCGATCTATGGTTTCAGCGATAAAGTAGGTCTTCTCTCCTTTCCTCAAAGAGAGGACACATTTGAGATGACGAAGTCGTACAGCAGCAAGACCGCTGCAATCATCGACAACGAAGTAAGAGAATGGGTGGCAAAGGCATACGATCGTACGTTACAGTTGATAGAGCAGCACAAAGAGCACGTAGCTCAAATTGCAGAGTCGATCGATGTGTCCCTGGCGGAGGAGCTGAGTGCAGGAAAGAGAACAACTAGTCAAGGGTTGGGGATTTGGAGCCAACGGTGATCAAGCTCAGGACAACGTGGATGGAGAGGGGATGGGGTGAGGGACCTTAGACTACAAAAGAACAGATTATGGACCTAATCCATTACTAAAAGTTGGATAGGGACCTTAGACCGATTTTCCAAAAAAAAAAAAAGGATAAATTACATTGGCGACCTGAGATTTATATTTATTATAGTTTTTTTTTATTTTTAAAAATTACATCTTTCTTTTTGATGTTTAAAATTTTATTACATGTTGTTCCCTCAATTAGCTGACTATTAAGTCAACTAACAGATTTTGTTGATGTCAGTAATTTAAATTTTTTAAATACCAATTTTTCCCTCACTGAGTAAATTACATTGACATCCCTCACATTTTAGAAATTACAATCTCCTTCCCAAGGTTTAAAGTAGCATTACCAATTACCTAGGTGGTTAGTATTAGTTGAAATAAAAAATTAATTGAAAAAAAAAAATTGGAAAAAAATTAATTGAAAAAAAAAATTAATTGAAGAAAAAAATTATTTGAAAAAAAAAATAATTGAAAAAAAATTTGTTAGTCAAATTTTTAAATTTCTATTTAAAAATCAACGGAAACTCATTTTTTGAATTTATGTTTTTTTCTCAAATTTACAAACTAAGACAACCATTTATGAATTAAACAAGTTATCAAATAAGTTTTTATGACAATTTTTAAAATTTTTGTAAATATAAATTGAAAACTGAAAACGAAATGGTTACCAAACAAGCCTTAGATGGTAACAATGTTGTAAAATTAACAAATAATTAAATAAGTTATCAACGTAAAAAATGAATTATCAAAAAATTCTTAAGCTATATATGGTTTGCTTTTTAAAAATTTGTTTTAAAAATTAAAAATTAATTTGGTTAAGAAATAAAAAAATAAAACATAATTACCATTTTTATATGATTTTTATCTTTCGAGTGGTTAGAAATAAATTTTTACAAATTAAATATATTTCTTCATATTTATTTTTATTAAATTAGTTTTTTTTTTTTTAAATGTCAAGGGGGATCTGTATTAAATGGAAACCTCAAGCGATGTCAATGTAATTTACCATTTAAAGTATATGTAAAGGTTAAGGGTAAATATGTCATTTTAACTTAAACGTTAACACCGTCAAATAATTACACTAACAAGGGAGGTCAGTGTAATTTTTCAAATATGATGGGAAAACTGTAATAAATATAAAACTCAAAGGGTGTCAATGCAATTTACCCAAAAAAAATAAAGAATGTAATTAACTTTATTTTTCATGTATCAAGATTTATTTTTCATCTATCAAAATGAATTTGAGAAAGGAGATTCATATGTTACTGAATGAGTAATGCTACATCTATTTAAGATTTTACTAAAAGTATTTATATCTAAATATTATTAGAGATTTAAATATTATTTATTTTTTTTGTTTTACAATCAATTATATTTGACTATTTATATTTTAGTAAGACTTTTAATAAATTTAAACCTCATTTGGGAATAGATTATTTCAGTAATTTTTTAATTTTTTTGCTAAAATATGAAGTAAAAAAAAAACTAACTAATATGTTTGGAATAATCTTTTGATTTTTTACTAAAAAATATGCAAAAAAGTAGAGAAAAAATGAACTTTTTGACTTTTTAGTATAGATTATAGATTTTTTGATTTTTTTAATAATTTTTTAAACTAAAATAGGCACATGCCAAACGAGGCCTAGTATTTGTAAAATTATTCTTACTGAATATCATCATTTTATCTTTTT